GCATCAATTTTCTTTTCATGCAATCCATTATTTTACATCCGATGAAAGTCCCACTAACAGACTAGTTATTTTCGCACTCAATTCGTGTACTCACTTTTGGATCGGGACGACGAATGCGCACTTCCATTCTTTCGGGATTTTGCCTAAATCAAACGACTATTGAAATATTATAGCCAGTGGGTCGCAGAGTTCATTAGCAAGTTCTCAAAATGTCAGCGCAGGAGTTTGACCCGTACCAGGCGATTTGGCAGGATTCAGTCGGAGTAATTCGGCCCTAACTACGGCCGAGGAAAAGTGTGGTTCCAGGAATGTGGAGGGTAGGGGGGGGAGTAAATGAGAGAAGAGGCGTAGAGGAAGCAGGAGCAGACATTGGCTGGAAAATGGGTGAAGGATGAAACGGTGAGTTAGTTTCTCAGGTGAAGACGGACTGAAAGAAATTAGAAAGAAGGAAAGCTTTGAACTGGTCGTCAGTCTCCGGTTTCCTTCAGCAGACCTGAGGTCAGGGACCAGTTCTTGGGCTATTTAAGGACTAAAAGTCATGAAGCTGATTGTTCAAGAACGAAACGGTCAAAAGCGGCTTTATGCTTTCCGGTGTAAGGTGTTGGCATAATTTTGATTTGAATACCGATAAATTAGGCGATAACCTAGGTTCTGGTGGAAGATTAACTAAAAGGAATACATAATTTGATGTAAAAAGGGGGGCGTTTAGATGTAAACTGAAGAGACGGCGGAATCAATATGGAGGGTGCTACCCATGGCATAACACCGACCGCTCAAAATGAGAACATCAATACGCGGAAGAATAGCGGTAGAGTTAACGCGAAACAGGAAGCAAGGTCAATTTCGAATCCTTAAATCCATAAAAACTTAATATTTGCCAGTTGGCATTTCTAATTATAGGAAATATTGCATGCAAATAGACAGAAGAGTTTTAAACCGAAAAATCTTTGAATATGCTGAGCAGCATTCCACAGGTTATTCATTGTTAAGTGACACATCATCTTATCATTGATCAGTGTTTCTAAGATCTTCGAAACTGCGGGGAGGGTGTTTATTTGGCCGAAAGTCATCAAGTTACGAAGACTTGCCGTGCTTACAAATGGGCCAAAATGTGCGACTCCTTCCAAAGGGTATGATAAGTTTCACTTTCAAGAGAGAGATTAAATATCATGCATAAGAGGGGTGGGAAAATCGTACTTGCATCGGCTTTTAAAATGCTTACTGGAACACCATCAGGGCCTGGACTATAAGATCGACGAAAACGCCGAATCGCAACAGTCACATCCGTCAGGGAGAAAGTTATAGTTTATAGAACTGCTTCGGCCAATGACTGGATGGTCGGAAGCGGAGTGGTCGAGCCTTAAATATACGTTTTAAACTGGAAATCATTGAAGCTATCAGCGATTACCTGGGCATCAAAGATGGGATTTCGGAGAGCGTCTCGGAGGATGGAATGCTGCGTCTTTCTGTAAGTTCGTATTTTTCTAGAGAAAAGTTTCAAGACATTTAATGAATGGTTTTCGGTAAACTGGACCTCTTCGGCTAGCTGTTTTTCTTCAGACAATCTCTTAGTCCGCTCAAAAATATCACAAATCAAGGGCAGAACTGGAACATCGTTCTAAAGATGGAATCGACGATAAAGCCTGCGCAATCTACGATGAAAGAGTAAGGGTAGGACAGCCTCATCACCAAGATTAATAATTTTCTTACGAAGGACTCATCAAGAAATAAGCGGATCCAAAATTTCGTACAGATTTGCAGTGCTAACATTTATATCCGAACAAAGGAAGAAATCAGTCCAGTCGTAGGAATTAAGGAGTGTTAATAATTCGGTTGAGTGAGCTGATCGGAAATTGCGGAAAATCCATACTTTGGGGACAACGCTTTGTCAGCCTCGAAGTCCAACTTTGAAACAACTATATCATGGTCTCAGCCCCCGATTGGGCCAAGAGATGACAAAGACGAAGGTATGTAGCCTCTGCAGAAAATCAGGTCAAGTATGCTTGAGCCTAAGGTGGGAAAATCGACAACCTGACTCCACATCCCAACATCTACAGCTTCAAGAATGTCATCGAACCTTCTGGGGCCTAAAGGCGGAGACCAGCAAACTTCAGGGAGACTAAAATCGCCCGCAACCAATTGATACTTAAAGCTTAAGTCGGTCGCAGCATGAAATGCCTGTGAGAGTAAACGATCAAAATTTTCGTGGGCGTTAGGAGGGCGATGGACACAGCCAACGAGTAAGGAGAACTTATTTTTTAGGGCAACCTGGAGCTAGAAGCTGCCTTCTACTGCGGAAAAATGCGGGAGGTCAAGCGGATAAAATGTAAGTGTTTGCTTAACGTAGACGCAGCTGCCCCACCACGGCTGTCTTGGCGATCAGTTCGAATGCAATTAAAGCCTATAATAGAGATTTCGGAGTCATCTGCGGAGGCTGATGCTCACGTTTTAGTTACTAAGTCGATATCTGGACAATGGACGGACACCAGAGTCTGAAGCAAAGGCATCTTATTCAGCGAGGATTTGACATTTAAAACAAAAAGTTTGAGGGAAAAGGCTGTTTGTTTCTGAGGGAGGGGGACTACGTCGTCCAGTGCTTAGCTGCCCACGGAACAAACGGTCCGGATTTACCCATCCGGTTCTGCAAAACACTTTGTGGCATCAAAAGATTCTGTCGAGGATAAAGAGAGATAGGCCTTGGGGAGGAAATGACGGGCAGGTAAACTAGTTACCATTGTTAGCTAACTTATTTTCAGCTGCAACTCCGCGGAACAGCTAATGCAACACATTCCCGCCGGAACGAAACTGAGGATCGGAAGAGTTAACTGATCTGGTATGGACATAAGCATGAGGAAAACATGTGTAAAACGGCCGTGGAGGAAACAAGTTAGGGGATGGGAGACGCATTGCTTCCATTGGAGCTGGAGTTCTATTAAACGGCGAGAAAATCAGCATATTCGGCCTAACTGCCTCGATATGAGGGCCGGGGGGCAGGTGGGCGCACACAACGTTTTGAGTCGGGGTGTTTGAGGCACTATAAGTCGATTGTGGAGGAAAAGATTTTACAATGGTGCTGGATTTATCGGGTGTCCGAGTGGCTAAGACAGCAATTGGATTTGCCTTTGATTTAGACACGTGCTTAGGGTTACTAGGGGTTGCTGGAGGAGTCAAAATAGGCGTGTTTATACCAGGCGTGATGGTGTGTTTAAAGATCTCAACATTAAGAGTAGTCGAATTCCCTACGGAATTGACTATGCCCTGATGTGCAGAGGCTGCAGATAGTGTTGTAGAGGACTTATTCAAACTGACAGTAGGTGTCATTATCCTGGTGTTGGTTTTTGCCGATTTTAATTTATTCAGTCTTCGCTGCAGCGGTGTGAGGTCTGACGAAACGGAGCAGCGCCATTTACGACAGAATTCTCTAGTTATTTCTCTCCTTGACAAGATAAAGTCGGTTTCTATCATGGAGAAAAGAGTAACTAGGATCGGCGCATTACGGCTAAGCGAGCGCAGTCGTTTAGCTTGTGGGACACTGAAACTCAAGCCACAACTTTGTAGGAACGAATGCGCTCCTTCCATAGCAGATAAGTGGCACGGAACGTTTCGCAGTACGAAATTATGCTTGCGTTTAATTCTCTCCTCAGTTTCAGAACTTATAACCCAAATGTGTTTAAAAGCTTGTTCAATTGCTTTTCCAGAAGTGCTGTTTATGTCGCCACATATTAACTGATCGACTATTTCGTCGGCTGGTGGCCTGTTACGACCGACAGAGGCGTATTTTTGGACGACTGAAGGGTCTCGAGGTTCTACATGAACTAAAGGGATTTGTGAGTTCATCATATCTGCAGAAGGCGAAGCGCATATGCTGGCACCTGCTATGTCTTCGGTCACGATTCTTTCACCCAGATACGGTGGGGAAGCCGAAAGCTTTCGTCTTTTAGCACGTGCTCTGCGGGCCATTACAGACAAGAAAAGTTTTTCGTTACCGTACAAGGATCAAGACGTTGCTAACTTACGGAAAAGCGCACTGAATAGCAAGTAACACTGTTATTTAACTACGAAAACTAGAAAGAGATAGTTTGGAACGGAGTTACTGCAAAGGTTTTTTTTACAAAACTGAAAATTATGCCTTGTAGTGAAAGGCGATTTTAAAAACGATTCAAGCAAACAAACAGGCGTTAATTGCTTAAGAATATCCTAGTAAAGGCAAAGCTTCAATTATCTTTCAAATTCAGCTGCGCGCCTTGAGTACGGACATGCGCTTATTGCACATTAACCGAAACAGATGTGAGCAGAAGATCAAAAGTCAACATATTCGACGGAGTTAAAATCTAAAATAAGTATATTGGATTTCAAATAAAGCACATATTTTGAAAACCCCAGTCAATGTTTCCTAAAGCTATTATCACCTGGCTGGTGAGGTTGGAGAATTGGGCACGCTAAGATGGGTAGCCCGTATTTGGCGATAGGATAACAGATATAAAACACAAATGTCCAGAAAACGGTGGGATTCTCGAAAAGTATAGAAAGCACTTTAATGAGGGCCAAACATAATGAGGGCGATCATTACCACGTTACTTGGAGTACGCAACTTCTCATGATGTCACACTTCCATCCTTTGGTCACTCTCATGCAACCTTCCAAAACTCCCACGATGTTATTAGATGTTTATTTTGTGTTAAAAGTCTGTAAAACTTCTTCCTTAATGCCTACATAGTTTTCGGAGCCCTGGATTAGTGAATAGTTTAAGGCAATAACTGTAACTGTGATCTCCGACGGCCCATTTTTGAATCCGACATCCCGATCTTGTGGTTTTCTCCAAATACTCGATTGTTATCTGTTTGGCAGCATCTTCAGTTTCTCTTTCTTCATTATATTCCTCGTAGCCTTTGTAAATAAGGCCTCAAAACATTCAGGCAACTGAATATGCAAAGTTCACCTAAATTTCAGGGAACAGTTCTGCACGCTTTTGATTTGGCGTGGTCATAGCGATAACTAGTATGTCGGACGAAGAGGAAGAAGGAGGCTCTTCTGGGGCTGGAAGGATATTCATCAATAATTTGGATTGCTATTTGACAAAGAACATTGCACTTGTAACTGCACATTTCTCAGGTTTTTTATCTGCGCTTTAAAGCACCTGGCCACATGCAAGCCCGGTCAGGCACTTGACGAAGCGGAAGAAGAGCCGCAGGATGAGGAAGAAGCTGGAGTATTACAAGAACCAGAAGAGCCGACTGAATTAAAACTTACAGGCTATAAAATAATTGGAACGCTTAAAAATCCGACGTCACAAAAGCCGGCTTTTGTAGAGGATATTTTAAATGTTAGTCTATTTTTTCCTATATTTTTCGTATAGTGCGACAGCCGACGAGCGTTTTATGAGCATATTATTGAGTGTGACACCGTAATATACGACATAACTTCTGACCCGAAGCAAATTGATGAAGTGCTGTGGGTGGCGTCGTCGCTTGAGGACGATTTCGAACGCTTCACAAAGAAGAAAGTACTTATACTTGTCACACACCTTTTGAGTTGGCTTCGCACAAAATCAGTCGATTCAGTAAGTCTTCAAAGTTAACTTGCACTTTTCTGCTTTTTTGTAGTCAAGCTTTTGACCAGTTCACAATCCATAGTTGTTATATTTATTCAAACTAATGTTCGTACCTTCGCATGTCACTAGATGACAGGGTCTGCTGTAAAAAGTAGATGGATTGCGACTCCCAAACTTTTTCGAGTCTTTGTTGCCCGCATATTACGTACCACTTCATTGTGAGATTAGATGGAGCTTTTATCTTTCTGAAGGCGAGTACTCATCCTATCTTCTCCGAGGAAGGTCATCGAAAAAGGAAACCTCATCCGCTATACTCTCGCCACCTAGATGCAGAGAAGGCCATACTCCGCTCAGGAAAGAGGGTTTGGCGAAGTATAATTTTACGTTTTTTGAATGTTACTAGCATAGGTCGAGGTTTTCCACCTATGTCTTCGGATGTGGAATTCCATACGGAGCGGAAGAAGGAATATTTGCTCCTTTTTTCAAGGTGACCTTCCAACCTTTGTAATCTCCATATTGCTTCTTTATTAAACGAATCTTCATAAGACGTGTAATTTCTTAATAATGGTTTTGGGCCTTTTGACAAAATGTTTGCACAGGAAGCATGGCTGAACAAAAAACAACTTGAAGTGTACGGGCCAGGTGACAACATGATTCCAACCATTCACGTGAAAGATTTAGCAGCGTACGTCCGACCATCTTAAATGCTGCCATTTTTACCAGATGAACAATATTTCTGCGCTTCTATAACCGTTAGTTTTTGCATTTAAGTCTCATTCAAGCCGTACTGGAGGCACGCCCACGAACGCGCTACATGATAGCAAAAGATTCAAGCCAGAATACTCTTGGGGAAATCATTGCGGTACTTCAAAGTTAATTTGTTTCGTTTGACTTTTTCCCAGAACAGTACTTTTTAAATAAGGCTTCTGGTTTAATTTCAGGCAATATCTGCCAGATTCAGTACCGGTGACGTTCGAAGAATGACAGCGCAGGAAGTTGATAATTTATACAAAACCCCGGTACGCATTTTTTAAAAAGTTTTAAAGTAGAAGTGCCTTTTTGAAAGCAAGCCAAAAGACTAAAAATTTGCTTTAAAAACTTGGTGTCTTATAATATGCCGTACTGTATAGCATGATGCTTCTTTCATTAAACATGTTATAATGAAGATTGAAACCTGAATTGGCCTTGGACAAAGAAACGAAATTACACTGATTTTTTAAAATCTAAATCTACTTATGTAATTTTTCCGTAAACATGCCAAAAAGATCTCCTTAATCAATGCGTTTATAAACAATCTTGGAATATATTTTCTTAAATATAGCAAAGTTGGTTATCTTGGCAAACATGCACCCATTATTTCCGAGCTTCTTGAAATTACTGAAAAAAATTAACGTAACAAAAGTTTGTTCCTGGGATTTTGGCTAAATAATTTGTCTCACATTCTTATTTGTAATTATTTACAGAAGCTCCTGGTGAAAAATCAAATCTATAAGCACGTGATGCGACACTAAAATGAGCTTGCTGTACCAGTTTTAAATGACATATGACAGGTGAAATCTTTTGTCAGTGCACCAAATGACTGATGAGGTAGATTTCAGGCTGCCCTATTCTTAAAATCCGTTATATATTGAGCCTCTCACCGTCTAGGCTTAATTTCTTTCCATGGCTTTGATTATATCAAGTTATGGACACCTTATTAATAAGTTTTTAAGGGATTTCACCGGACTGTCTGTCGCTATGCTTTACATAGACATTTACCCCAAAAATTATGAGAAGTAGTAGTCTAACACACAATTTTCAATTTAATGTCATCATAAATCACCACGATTATTATTTCCTTCTTAAGCGCCACGAGATCGACCAGCTGACAATGGACGCTTCCCTCGAAGCAACAATTCTGAAAGAGGAATATCAGATACAGTGGAAATCTGAGACTGGAATGGTGGAAAACATGCAAATGTTGGCTCAGGAGTATTTGAAGAGCCGAGACCTTAAGGTGTTATTAAAGCCCTTCTACCCTAGTCAAAACGCTTTTCTTGTTTAAGGTAGTGTGTATAACAGGCTTTTAAATATCAGTCACCAACTTCCTTTCATAAAATAAGCGGTCCAAGACCTAATGCTCTTGTGCGAGTTCAACACTTTATGGTTTGGTGACCTTTCTAAAGTAAGGATAACTCGATTTACTTAGAATCTTCTAAATTAAAAACTCGAAATTTACTTTAGTTGCCGCTTAATACCGAGTTAACCATAACTTAACAACGACGATCTGAATATCGTTTTCTAGTTTATATGGCAAAATCCTCAATAGCTAAGGTTGTTATTGGTGTTAACCGCTTGGTCTCGCATGGAAACTCCCATTTTGATACTTTTTTTCCACTTTTCTTATTCACTAAATTTTAAGCACTCCAATCAATTCTAATTTTGAGAGACGCTTGCCGATCTTGACGAACTCCCATAGCAATATCTACTTTGCCACTCCCTGCCAGAGATTTGTCCTTTTTATCCAACTCCTTTCCGAGCCTTTAAGAGTAAGCGTTTGCTGAGCCTCCCTAAAGGCCACCTGGCGACCTATCTCAGCGGACTCTGTATAATTTAGAGAAACAGAACGTAGAATAACCCTAATTGTAACTCGAAATATTGTATCTACTGACGATGTTTGTGTTCGGGCTCTTCAAATAACAAAAGTGGTCGCTTATTCAATGACGAAATCAGTGAGGGCACTTAGCCGTCAGCACTACCAAGCACCAGACGGAACCTCCAACTTGCTAATCCCCTTAGACGTCCTTCTTAATTTAACCAGTATCAGATTGCCCGCGAGTGCGTTGATTTGGTGCAATTTAGACAATTTTCACGGCTCTTTTAGTCTCTGTTAACTGAGTTCTACAGTTAATGACCGATCTCATGAAGCAACAAACAAAATTCTGAAATGCGTATTCGTTTGGAAAGAATAACTTAAGTGGGCTTGTCATATCTAAATCAGTCATATTTTAATGGATGCTGCTCCACACCTTGAAGACTGCCTGTAGTAAGTTATAAGGTTCTGGTAAATGAGAAGATGGATTTTATATCTGCCAGTCTCTTAGGAAGATTATCAGAATCAAAGATACCAATAAAATTCTTTTAAACAGACTGTCTACTGCCTAAACTGAAACCTTTCTGTAAATGAAAACAGTGGCAGATGTGAGACTTCTAGAATAAAATACAACATACCGTAATTCAAATACTTACTCGAATTACCCGCCATGCATGGACTTTTTTAACTGTTTTCGTATTGCCAAAGGTTTTTGAAGAATTCAGTAAAATCGTGAGATCTAGCGCGCCAAAGACTCCTTAAATTCATCGTAAGAAGAAAACCTACATGTCATTTAACCGTTATAGGCATCATATAAGGACCTCATTAGGTTCGCAAAATTAATGGATGGGTGTTTGTCCGTGCATTTTTGCACAAATACCCGATTTTCAGCAACAAAGAATGTCAGATGCACTGATAAAATTCGGTTCAGTGAAATTCTTTTGCCCCATCCTATATTATATTATATATTATATAGGCAGAATGGTATTACCGACAAAGACAAGGGAGACTGGAATGGCCATTTCTGGCTTATTAGCCGTCGTCAGCCAGCCATACCCAAGCCCGAAGTGTGGGACATCTGGGCCTCGAACTCGCGACCTGTTGGTTTAGAAGTCAACGCCTCTACTCAGCGGGCCACGAGCCCGTTGCCCTGTCGGTTTTCGATCGGGAATATACAATGTTAGTGGGCGCTCACCGAACGTTCATACGGAACTCACTCGTTCCGTTGTGCCTTAAGGGCTCTCTCTCGAGCCCTACCAGCAGCCGCGCAGCGGCGCATGATATATAGGCAGAATGGTATTACCGACCAAGACAAGGGAGACTGAAATGGCCATTTCTGGCTTATTAGCCGTCGTCAGCCAGCCATACCCAAGCCCGAAGTGCGGAACACCCGGGTCTCGAACTCGCGACCTGTTGGTTTAGAAGTCAACGCCTCTACTCTGCCTATATATCATGCGCCGCTGCACGGCTGCTGGTTGGGCTCGAGAGAGAGCCCTTAAGGCACAACGGAACGAGTGAGTTCCGTATGAACGTTCGGTGAGCGCCCCCTAACATTATATATTATATATATATATAATGTGCATATTACAAAGAGGAAGCCCAGTTTGCCATTATGATTTCCGGAAAGCATGTTTGCCTTCTATGCTTCTCGGTACTGAGCTCCGTCCTGTTAATCTTCTTTTTAAAAATCATAACATTTATAAATGTTGGTCAACAGCTTTCCTGTTTCGGATGCGACTGCTCTATTCACTACTTTCTCAGTCTGCAACAGCTGTTTGTCGTCCCTCCTTCCGAGTTCAAAATAAGGGGGCACCGGATAGGTCCCACATGCCGACCTAGAAGAGCTCATTTCGCGCAGAACCCGACACCCATTAGGATGATCAGCACTTCGATTCCGCTTTGCGACACCCCTTCTTTGATTATGTGAATTACGTGTTTCCACTGTATGACTCGAAATAAAACGCCCATTTCTGAGAAAGTTTAGTAAGGTTTGTCCTGACGATCAGTTTTTTCCACTGAATTTCCTAGCCACTCCGTATTTGTGTCTTGGGAGCACCATTCGTCGGTAAAACGACTCTGGCAATGGAACTGGCTCGGCATTACGGGCTTCACTACATACATATCCAGGCAGTAATATTGGAAGTCTATACCAGATTGGTAAGTCTCAGCTCGACTTCCTTTAAGTCGGAAATTTTTTATTTCACCTTAAAACTTTGCCCCAAGATTGAATCTTTTTGGCAGGGCCATATTCTGTGAGTATTTAGAAATTACGAGGTCGACGGATAGCTGCTTTTATTAGTCCATCCTAGAGCGATAATATCCTTGTACTCAACGAATAAGAAAGAAGAACACTCGATTACCCGGGATATCCGGAAATCAGTTCCCAAGACTTGATAAGCTGATGCGTTATCGGTGGAACAGCCTAAAATCTCCCCGGCCTTCGTTAGCTGCCGGCCCATTTTTCAATGTCCTCGGCAACGAAAGCATGATTTGGTGCTCGTATTGTGAGCCTCTACTTTTTATATTCCCAACAGGTACTCAGGCATTCGTCTGTCTACTTCCTTCCGGGTGGTCAAATCAAATTCAAGGTGAATAGACATGAGACCTGAAGGAAGAGGTTGCATTTCTACACTTGGTTGGCAACACCGACAGTTGTATGGCTTGAATCAGTTAACGTCAGCCTGGTGATTGCCAAGTCCGCGAAAACCCGTGATTGGTTGTCCTCGAGGCTACATATGTGTATATTCGACCACAAGGGAGGCCTGGGACTCTAACCAGAACCCACTGTAGCATAACCTCGAAGTATCCCCCGTTTACCTCTTCTGGTTCAAGTTGCAGTGTCTCAAGCTGGAATATGACGTGCGTCTCTGGCGCAGACGCCACGCTTAGAATCATCTGACTACGTCTACCGAATGCTCGGAATATGCGGGCATGTGGCCTTTAAGGTGGCCAATCACAGATGATCACCCAATCAGCTCAACTAACTGGCCCTGACTGACACTAACAAGACATCTATTCACGCCCATATCAACCTAGCGAACAGCAGACTTTTACTGGTCCTTCTATTTCTCAGCCAAAACAGGATTTGAGCCGTAACTAGAGTGCTGCTCTGAGTACATTCATTGCTAGGATGTCACAAAGTCAAACTCTACAAGTTACTCAAGGAAAGGGCAGAAATGGGATTTCGTAAATAAACTATAGTATATGCTAGTCTGTGGATGGCTGTACGAAGTTCTTGTGAGTGCCCTTTTGGTGTTGGGCAAAAGAGTGGCCTTCCACGGGAACCCTAAACATGAGGTGGTGTTCCTTCGAAAGAAGCAGGTTTTTTTAGCAGGGACTGCCCATACGATTGATGGCCCGTTTTGATTTTGGACCTGTGGAAGGTCCTCAGCTTGAATTCGCAAAACTGGGGCGACCCGAATTTAAATCAGGGTCCAGTTAGTCATTAAGTCCGTCTATCTAACAGCTTGGTCATGGACTCATGCTCTTATGACTGTGATCCAGTATATTAAAATGCCAATGGTCCGGTTGAATGATTTACGTTTGTAGAGTCTATGCAGTAATCGTCCTCAGAGCCCCATAATGATTACAGCCCGATCCTGCCTTAGAGGAGAAGGAGAAAGATGCAAGTGGGAGTCGTGCGTTCTGTGCAGAAACGGAGTGGTAGCCAGAATCTCAACCCGAGGTGCCTATACACTCGGGCGATGCAGGCGTGAATGCAGTCCACGCGGAATCAGTCAGCGCCAGTTAGATGTGTTGGTTGAATGATTACGGAGTCTGTGGGCGTCTCTGATTGGCTATCCACGCATGTCCCGACCACTCAAGAGTCGTGGCATAGGTACCAGACGCGGACGGCGTACACACACTTGAGGCGCTACAGGTTTCATGCCTAGAGTCTCCACAAGCACACGAGTGTTCGGGATCAAGGAATAACAATTCCTAGTCCAGAAATATTGGGGGTTAGCATTTCTCAATCACGATTCGTTTGAACTGCACTGTCGTCTAGCTGGCCAATTACCTTGGAGATCTGACAACCAGTCTTGATATGCTTGTTTCAAGTCCATCCTCAACAACATCCGCATGCCCCTTCCCTACTGTCCAGCCTACTTGCCGTCCCACCCATCCTTGGCCTCTTGTCTTTCATCATTGTGTTATGTTACTCGTTAAATTAGTAACATGAGGACGCTATAGCTGTTCGTCTCTTTCCTCTCTCCCCCCCGCCCTCAGCGTAAACTTATCAAGGCCGCGAAGAAGAGCAAGAAGGGAGCACGGGAGCGCACGATGCCGACACTGGAGAGGACGCCGGCTCTCCTTCCGACTGCTACCTCTGTCGACGTTGCGGATGAGCATCTGGGCACCCCGGTGTTCAATGCACCAGCTGATACCACACACACGGTTTCAAAGATCTCCGAACTACCCGATGAGAGTGAGTTTACGCATTTCCCCATATGGATGTGATATTGGTACTTCAGTGTGCAGCTAGCTCCGCGTCATCAGTAACTCTTTTCTCGTGGAAAAGTAGACTATTCGAATGCCGGAGGGAAGCACATGAACAAACTCTGCAGTCGCGTTGTGGCACGCTAATATACACTAATATCAACAGATGGGACCTTGTTGGTGGCTTAGATTGCCTCCTTAAATGCCTGTCTTTCGGGCCGTAGATCAGCCCGTAGCGCTTTTTACGCAGGTGTAAAGTCAGTATTCGATGGCTGTTCTTAGAAAAATTGAACAGGCATTCGAATGGCTTAGTCTCTTCCGTCAGTCAGTAGACTACGCTGGACCCCGATATTCAGGCTGCAATCACCCGATGACTTGCCTTTTTTTCCAGACCAATCTGTTACTTGCACAGTTTAACATGTCACAAGGTGCGTGCGCGTGGTCTTTGTGGGCCATTTGCGCTTTTTGTCTGTGTAATCATAGTAGGTAGTGCATCGGCAATGCTCTCAGCAGCCTATGAGTACCCCGCCTATGCGCGCAGTATACCGCATTCTTAGTTGATTCGCTAATTAATTTATCCAGCAGCGGCCGCAAACGTCTCTTTGATATCCTTTAAGTTGGTCACGGCCACCTTGGTCATCAAATGCCCGTTTTCGCACAGAACGACCGTTGAGATATCTAAGAATTCGTCCGGTGTTGGTTGCTTCTTGGCGGGAGACCAGCTTAAGAAGGCTAATTTTCCCCCGTTTCGCCTTCCTTCGTGAACTGTACACCTTGGAAAGGCCGAGAAAGCACTGCAGAACACCCACCCAAAACATCGCGTGGCCGACGTGACAATTCTTTGAAATCACTCGCAAAACAATTACTACCTTCCAAATTCAGTAGGCCAATAAAATGTATAAAATATTAGGTGTGAATGCCGGCAGTAGGCGAGATCGTATTGTGCAGGAAGCTCCGGAAAGAACTTTAGAATAACATGGCTGCTTCGCGGACGGTTAGTAGACTTTGAAAGAAATCCAATCCCGAGAACTGGTCGGTGAGTACGCCACCTGTATTGCCTTTGGCCGTGAGGCGACTGTTCACATATCGGCAAATTCAGTATAATTATTAGCGTATGATCGACACTTCCAACGGCATTGTCAGCATATTTACACTGATCGGGTAACAGGAAATTATGCATAATCTCAGACGTTCAGTCAAATCCAGTTTATTCACACAAGAGACGCATCACCGCCCATTCCGTAGGGCGCAGCACCGGTGACTTGTGCGTAAGTTAGTTTATGCGAAAGTTGACTGGCGCAGTGTCTACTACACACTCACCTCCCCCCACCCACCAGGCTCTCATGGTATGACAGTCAAGATGGCCGAATGTGGACAGATGTCATTTGGTTATGTCCACTTGTCTAAGAAAAACTTTGGAGGGTTGCGAGAAATCCTACATCAATACCGTGACTCTAAAACCCGCAGTCATAATGACGTGAACGGAACGCCACGTCCGTTATTCCCGCGTGGCTTAGGGAACTCTGTCTGCGGACATTATGAAGGAAGCCGGAGGGCATGATGAATAAACAAGATCACAGTCACAAAAGTGACGATTATGGATCCGAGACACTGCGTTTTCCGTTGGTGCCCCATGTTTTGACGCTGAGATGGACTAACATAGCGACGAGTGATCGGAAATGGACAGTAATAATGATTTTTATGATCCCCGATCGCACCGCACAGGGGGAGCAGAATACCTTTCACAAGGAATACTGACTGAGATTCACATTGGGAGCCTGTGCGGCGCCTGAGCCTTGCCCCTCCCCCCGCAGCCAGTCGTCGAAGGGGAAAACGTCGATCGACCTTCCACCGTCGCTCAACCGGGGAGCTGACTCACGAGCGGCACAGGCATTCACCCAACAAGGGCCTTTGGGCTGATCAAAAGCCATATGGTTAAACGGACACGCCTGCGACTACCTACTGAATTCCCCGCACATCCGCAAGTGAATTGCGCACCAGCGGTACTCGTAGCTGTTAGTTGTCCATGTCAGTCAAGCGCCGGGACCTTGTGGATTCACCGAAGTCTATCATACTGCGCTCCTTCCGTAGAGATAATTAATATACTATAGCGTTGTTTATTTAGTTACTAGGCGATGCCCCTGATGGCCTTATTGAAAACGATGCATATAATGTTACTAAAATGTTGTCAGTAGTGTATTTCTTAACGGATAAACTTTCCACAGTGTGGAACCGCAAAGGTTACGGCAGGCGTCCTTTCCATGCACATTTAAGATTAATTCCGTCTTTTATTCACGTGATTCCACTATTTCAGAACCGAGCACTCCGCCACCGTCTGAGGTCGTTCTGATGAGCAGACTGACACAGGAGGTGACAGCACGCTACCCCTTCGATCCGGAAATCACCTGGGAGTCAGATGCTCAGTTGGAGATTCTTGCCAGTGACGCAGAGGAAGAACTCAAGGAGTTTATCAGAGCGACATCCCCCGAATGTCGTGTAGACGATGCCGTCGTAATCAAGTGAGTCAGTTGACTGACCTTATCTTGCGTTTTGCAGCCAGGGGAAACCAAACTTGTGAGAAATTTGAAAACTAACTTTTGGCCTGAATTGCTATGGAGTCCAAGGCTTTTCAGACAATGGCTTGTGCAGTATTCATTTTTGTCAACGTCCTGGTGGTGGCTATTCTGTCAGTTCGCACAAATTGACTTTCTTATCGTCAGCCTGTTAATTACATCGTGCGCGAAGTTTTCAGTTTATACACCTCTGAATGGAGGCCATTGGAGTGGAAAGCCAGTGAAAATCCCTACAAAATTTGTGTCAATCCCTTTTCAATGTAATGAGTTCTCTCGAAGCCTCCCCTAGCCTCTATGGCTGACTTGAAGGAGCTCCGATAGGCTTCGTACTCTCGTGAATCAAAAACCTGGTTATCTGTCGTGTGGACCAGGGGGTGCGGGCTCATCCGTGCTACCCACCTGCGTCCTCCACCACCTCGGGTCTCCTTGAGTCTGTCTTGACACCAGGCCCAGGTGGGGGAGGGAGAACGAGTGCGATGGATGCTGTGCAGGTCTAATGTCACTCTTACCCAGGTTTTTGCACATGTCATCGTCCCTGCCCCCACCCTACCGCGGGGCACACGGTGGACATCGTCTGATGCGACGGTCGAACTGTCGGGTGGCCTTCTGATAAGATTTGGGACTTCGTTGTCATAATCGGGAAGCACGTCCTCTGCTGCGTCCTGCTACAACAAGTGATGACTGGGTCGTGTGTGGCACGTGTAGACGCGTCATATGTCAGCCACTTCAACCAATCCCATTAGCAGTCGTTTGACAGACTCGCGCAACTAACCAGTACATGGGAGTTGGAAAAGAGAGTGTGGTGGACATCGGGGCGATCCATCCCCACGGCAAAATCAGTGCACTGTGATGGGTTCGACGGTGCATCCAAAACGTCAGCCGAATAAGACGCCTGTTCCAGCGATCACCCCCCGTTTCTTACTGGCATTACTGATTATAATAAATCAGATTCGCTCCAACCTACCCCGATTACCTAGGAGTCATGACTTGGAAGGATGCCAGCTGACAAGGCTAGAACAAGGAATCAGGTTTCAGTGGCTCCTTCTCGGTGCGACCTTTAAGGCAGTCTTGCTCACGGGAGATCCGAACTGCCATTTCAGAAGTTTGGCGTATGTAATAGGAACCAGATCGTGTGTGGCACGCGCAGATAGACTGTTTAACTTCGCCAGCCATCGTGCCTCAGCCTACTCCTAGTCGTCTGTACAGTAGGTGGGCTAATTCCTGAAATGTCAACCGAAACTCGTTTTCGTTTCTAAAAGATTAATTAAGTAGGGTTGTAAAACTGGTCAGCCTGCAACATAATTCTATAATAGTTCAGTTACCACAGGATTCCGGCTTTCGAATGAACTTCCTTTCGGCTAAATGCACAAACTGCACTCTGTAAAAAGTGGCTACTTAAGTAGCATGCATTTTTCTCATTGGTTTTTGATGTCCCTAAAAACTGCATTTTATGGAAAGCATGCGTACCAATATTCAAGATTTTACTCCAATCTTATTACTCAGAGGAGGCGTTTAATTTGGTCTTCAAAAACATTTCTAATTCCCGAATAATTTTAAACCCGCTCCACCGTTGCGCTTGGATTAATGGTTTCCAAGCTACAAACCGTATATTCTCCGCGTACGAAAACCACACCTTCCTCTACGGTAATAAAGGGGGACCATATAGGGTTCATAACATTTAGCAGTGGATTTGATCCATTTGTTAACTTTACAAGCCACATTGGTAAATGCAGAGACCTGACGATTTATGAAAGACCACTTCACGGTATTTAAAAGTCCCATGATTAGAAGCTTTTTTAAAACCGAATTATACTCTTCTTTTGAGTATGAAATTGGAAGAGGACATAATTTTCTACCGAATGAGTAAAGGAATTGATATTTTTATGCATGGTTTCCATGAAATATAATGGAATTTTCAAGGGCATTGAAAATCACTGAGAAAAATGCATGCTACATAGTGTCGATTTGTACACAGCCGGGTCGAAGTTCTTTCGAAAGCCGGCATCTTGAGGTAACTGAATTATTGAAGAATTATACTGCAGACTGATTAGTTTTACAACCCTATTTAATTAATCTTTTCGAAACGAAAACGCATTTGGGAATTTCGGTTGACACTGCAGGAGTTAGCCCACCTACTGTGCATTGTCTTTCTACTGGTGCAACGTAGATGAGGGAGATAGGAGGGTGGTATATTCTCAGCGTGTCTAACTGACCATAGACTAATTCACTCACACTTCGCCGTCGCCGAGTCGTGCACCACAACACTAACAGTGAGCCTGCTACATCATTTCAACATCCACCCAACTGTTGAGCAATCGTTCCCTGTTAGGCGGAAACAACGTCCACAAACCCTTTCCACAAAGGATATGTACTCAGGGCCAGACAACGTTCCGTCCGACGCCTGTGTTAAAAACATTTTCCTCACATCGGACACCGTTCCGACATGCAGTTATGGTGACGTTCTCTTCCACCTAGTTATTTGCGAAAGAAGTTGCTTTCAAAGCCCTGTCAAAACCAAGGCTTCGTTCTTGACGGGTATCCCAAAACGCTGGAACAGGCTCAACTTCTTTTTGGGCGTGAGTTCAAATCTTTTTCATTTTGAAAAGTCTAAGTATCAACCGTAGATGTCAGGATTGTCAAGTTTCTTCCTTGGACTTCGAAATCCGAAATTTCTATACAGTTAAAGGTGAAAGCCCGACACTTGGTTTTTCTGCGTGCTTGAAGTAGTTTAGCTTTTCATATATGCAATAAGATATTGCTCGCAGTAGTAGTAGTAGTAGTAGTAGTAGTAGTAGTAGTAGTAGTAGTAGTAGTAGTAGTAGTAGTAGTAGTAGTAGTAGTAGTAGTAGTAGTAGTAGTAGTAGTAGTAGTAGTAGTAGTAGTAGTAGTAGTAGTAGTAGTAGTAGTAGTAGTATACATGCATGTGTGCTGGTTGTGGTGGACGGTGATAGTACCCGTTTTGGTTAACAGCCGATACAGACTATCCGGAGGATCCAAAAAATCCCCAATGGAACCCCCTAATCACTCCAGAACAGGTTATCTACCTACAAGCAAGCAATGCCCTTGTAACGCATCGCTTCCGGCAGATGTTTCCACCGGAATTCGGCATGGAGGAACTGGAGGCACCCAAGCAGGGCCTGGCCTTTGACCCTAAGTCAGAGTTGGCGAGACGAAAGAGGCCCACCTCCGCTCAAAACGGTGATAAGAAGACGGTGAACCGTAATCTTAAGAAGCTGAAGATTGACTGGGAACTGCCCGAAGAAGAACCCCACCACCGGCTGGTCCGTAGGCTGGAAGAGTACAGAGCCCGTATGGCTCCGCAAGCAGCGGCAGAAATTATTGAGGCCCTTCTAGCGGATGCAGAGCATAGTAAGTCCGCTTCCAGCTCTGTTGACCCCGACATATGTGCCTACTAATCTAATTATTTATATTCGTGAGAAGACATTGCATGTTTAAGCAGGTTTAAGACCTTGGGGGCGCACCCCGGCTTATCAGTTAACTCGTAGCCGAGAGGCCAGCTCTTCGGGTGTGATGATTCTTCCAAATAATTACGAGGTACGTTGCCCGATCCGAAGTCGAATTAACAACGGGCCTGAGTGGACTACTGGGTGGCTGCAAGTCCACTCAAGCATGCGGGTGACCTTCGTAGCCTCGGCGCGCGTTAAGGTCATGGTACTCTGTCACCACTAGGTGACTGGCGTCTGGTGCTAACAAGACGCGAGCTGCAAGAAAGTGCGTCATTGACGACTGTGCAGACTGCCTTACCTCTAGCCGTCGCGAGTGAAGACGTTCATGCTGTGTCCCAGCCGCTTGTGCGTGAATAAGCTTACGATGCAGCAGGCCTGCACAGCAGCTACCACACACTCTCCCCTCTCACCTACCTTGCTCCGATGGCAAGATGGTGTCAGGACGGCCTCCGGTGAGCTCGGGTGCAGTAACCCACAAAGCGTCCCGGTTCCATTATATTATTCGGCTCGGATCACCGTCCACGGGAATGTCATACAGGTCACACTAGGCAGGCATTATTGCAGTCTGGCTCTCCGTCCTGGGAAGGACCGAGTTTTCCAGGCAGTTAACAGCGTTCCAAGCCACGGTGTTTTGAACGTCGGATTTATCATAGTGAGGGATGCGCTGGTTTGTGGTAGGGATGAATTCTTCACTGTAGGCCTCGCTCTCTCTCTCTCTCTCTCCCCCTCTTCCCTCCAGCGGCGATGGAATTTAATGCAGTGACTGACGCTACGTAAACGTCAACATCTAGGACCTAGCATGAACCGAGAATTGATTGAAGCCTGAGCCTCGGATTAGAACTCAGTTAATCGATTTATTGATCAGGCGCCGACGTACACAGACCTGTGTAATCGCCTCCAATCAGGTGTCATCGATCGATAACTGGCTTGCACGTTCTATAATGGTCGCTCTGACGATGGACTCCTGCACGACTTCGAATGCTCAGAATAAGAAACAGGCTGTTCCGGTGTTCGACCAGCCTTCGTCGTCTTCTTCTTCTTCTTCTTTTTCGGTGGAAATAAGCTTCCGAGCCACTTCAGCCCAACTTAATTTCCAGAAAGCCTAACTCGGACAAGCCTTTTGCGCTAAAAAGAGGTAAGACAGAGTAATGTCGACATCGGAGATGAACTCATGTTCATGGCAAACCAGCACATTCATCAACCAGATGTGCTAGAACCTGTTACGACGCATTATCATCCGCCTCTCAGAAAGTTTCCAACTGGTTGCGTAACTCATTTGACACGCAACTGATTGCTAAAGTAAAATAATTCTTTCTTAATGTGACCTTTACGACACCTGTCGTCTCTGTTAAATAAGAGACAGTAGTAGATGAAGTTTGGATCACAAGGACTGAGGGGACGAGGTCATCTTTGGCGCATCTAGACGAACTTTTTTGGCTTAACCTGCCAGTGTGCCCAAGCTCACGTCTGGTTGCGCTGACTCTGTCTTACCGCAGGAACGTGGGGGAGGGCGAGGGCGGGAGGGCAAGGAGTGTGCAGCAGATGCTGTGCAAGTCTTCCATCACAACAAAATAATTTGCTTTCCAGTAAACTTCCTGCGTCCAAAGGACGTCATTGTTCGCGATGGCGGTCGAAGTGAGGTGACAGGTGTCTCTCTTCTCATGAGACAGTCACTTTCTGACCATTCCCTTTACCTGGCATCATATCAGGTCATTTTGTGGAGGAACCTTGTTTGGTAAAAGGAAAAGGGAACTTCCTACCCTCGCATGCAAAAAATTGGGATGGATCTGGCCAGAACTGTTGAACTTCTAGGATCACACAGTTGTGAACAGACGGCACAGTCTAGTAGTTCCTGAGCTGAGACTGTTAAATCACTGAAATCTCTTCCAAATAGACAAAACTGCTTATTTCGCTGCGGAGCTCCAAGAAATACTGCCTATCGTTGGATTTGTTTTGGCCTGAACAAAAAACAGCGCTACATCACGGAATAGAGCGGACAGCTACGGCGTACTCAGTTGTCACCGATCGGCCATATTTTGGCCAACCTCGAATATGAAGTCGAAGTGATCTCCTTAAGATGGGTTTGCTCTTTTACAAATATGCCCGAAACTAGAGTTAAAAAAGGCCAGTTAGCAACTCAGGCGTTATATTTTTCCTGTATCTGCACATTTGTTGTTCGAGGCGAGGCGGCCGCACGAAACATGCCTGGCTTCTCGGATACACCGACCAGCTCTCAAATGCCCTCTGTATCTTGAGAAGACGTCGTCGGTTGTGCACAATGTTGATGATATACTACTGATTAAAATCAACTGTTTTCCGTTAATTGAACGATAGAACCAAAGAAAAAAGCCACTGCGGAGGATAACCCAGACGAAGCCCTTCTTCCACGGAGATCCCTGGCTCCGGAAGTTCCAGACCCCTCAGAGAAAAACGTCCTCACTTACTTTGACCTTCGCGAGCTCCATCCTCTTGTCATAAACATGGATGCTGACAAAACTCAGGCAAGTCCCCCACTTGGTCTCATTCATGAACTCGCCCCCTCTATTTCACATGTCTCCTCCCTAACAAGTGTAAACTTCCGACTTCCCAAGTTGTCGGTTTTCTGAACGAAAGATTATTACGGAGATAGCCTGAAGCCGCCAGTACCCGGCACAGATTTAACACAAGCATAAACAGCAGGCCGATAGAAGCGAATAAGCGAGTTCCAGGAAGCAGTTCAGAAGAATAAGATGGGATCGCTGGAACAAGAAGCTTACAGGCCTGACGTTTCGGATTCTCACTCCAACCCATCATCAGAGGCGGTTGCAAATAAAGTAAGTAGAGGCACAGAGGGTGCAGTATTTATAGTACGTATCTGCCGTAGGGCCACATGCGAACTATAATTAACAGCCCTCGTAATCACCACTGGGAGGTCGTAATTAAGGCGATGATGGCTCGTCAGTCCGCATGTCTTCCCGGTTATATGCACAATCTGCACTTGTTAAAAATGACAACAAAATTGGCCTGAGTATTTTCACCGACTTTATGTGCTATTATAAACCCAGGCATATTTTGTTTAGAGCATTTCCGACGCACTATGTCATCCTCAAACTTCTTGCTCGAAGTAACGTCATCTTTCTGTTGCAAAACTGTTATTCATTTCCGGATTAATTTTGAGCCTGAACGGCTGTTACGGAAACGTTAAGGGTTTCCAAACTACAAGCTGTTCAGAAGAAGAAGAAGAAGAAGAAGAAGAAGAAGAAGAAGAGGAAGATGCGATCACTGAAACCAGAAGTTTATTGGCCTGACGTCTCTCCCGGCGACCAAATGACTACAATAATAAGGAGCACCCTCATTCATCTCTGGGAGTCTTATTTGATGCGAGGATTGCTTGTTGGTCCATACCTGAGTCGTTAATGGTCGTGATTTCATCGCCGCCGTTGATTCTTGCGGTGACGATTACTCGGAAGTTGGGGCCTACTGTCACCGGAACTGTTGGTCGCCCGTACTCTCCCCGCGTGGTTAATTATTCTGCTCAGGCAACATCTCAGCACAGAATATGGAGGCGGAAAATCATTACGCATGTTAATTCGATACTGGTCGGAGGACCGTGACTCAACCAAGTCGCGGCTCACACAGATGTCATCTCTTGCGAGGATTTCGGCCTCATTAAACGTGAAGGTGTGGACGGGTCGCTTACAATGAGTCGCGATCTGGAAGCTAGCGTCATTCCTCCTCACTGCTGCTGCTGCAGCATGTTCAGCCATTCGCGTCCGGAGTAATCCATCAGTTTCTCCGAAGTAGTTGCCTTGTTCGCAACTGCACCAGATTCGGTAGATGACTCTGGACGTTTCACGTAGTGGCAGTGGATCTTTCGGCCTCATTATTTGAAGTTTTATAGCTGGCTCCGGCCCGTGTGTAAGCCCAACAGCAAGTGGTATGGGAAGCCGGCTGGCGGCTTCCAAGCCGTTCTTCGCGTACGGGAGCTCGCACTACAATTTTGGACCGGTTTAATTTTGTCTCTCATCGCGTTTACACATGCACCGGCTGACAGAGTTGCGCGGGTAACCGTTCGCCTTGGGTACCCCTCGAAGGTATTTTAATTCAGCAACCTTGTCTTCCGGTTCGACACAATGCGTCTCCGCACGCCAATACAGCGCACCTACGTAAATGCGTGTGTGACTAATTTGGTGGCTGCCGTTGTGCCCTCAGAACGGGCCACGCGTTAGATGCGCTGGACTAACAAGGGGGCCACATCGGACTCTGGCAGGCGTTATCTGTGCGCAATAACAAATGCCAAAATTTGCGGGGTGCGCTGGCGGACCCTGTTGTCGGCATTCGTCGCACAACCGGATCACTGTCTCCACCCCACTGTTTTGTGGTCAAAATCCTGGTCATTTGTGTGTGGACCAGGGGGTGAGGAGTGGAGCGCCAAGGCGAGGATCCGTCCGAGCCATCCACCTGCGGCCCCCCCGTCTCCGGTCTTCTTGTTTCTATCTTGACACCGGGCCCAGGCGGGGGAGGAGGAGAGAGTGTAGGTAGATGCAGCGCAAGTCTACTGGCACTATAAACCCCTGCGTAAGTCACCGTCCCTGCACCCACAATGCAGTCTGTGGGGCACACGGTGGTCATCGTCGAAATCGACGGACGAACTGTCGGCTGCCGTTAAAGCTCACTACCGGCATCGTACTAGTCGCTTTCCTAAACACTTGAGTTTTTAGGCCACCACCATCTTTGCAGTAGACGATGATATCAAGGAGGGCTAGCTGGTCGTCGTCCTCCTCCTCCTCCATCGTAGATGTTCGGAGATGCTCTTTGAATGCCATTACCTGCCCCTGTTCGATGACGACGAAGTTTTCGTCTATATGCCAAGCCCAGAATTCCGGTCTGTGGTGTCGGAAGACCAGCGACTCCAACCGCTGTAGGACTGCCTTGTCTATGAGTCCCGAAATCGGCGAACACATTGGCGTTCCCTTCAACCGCTCGCAGACTGTTCTGTCCAAAGTAATGTACGTCATCAGACTGCCTTGGCTATGAGTCCCGAAATCGGAGATTCTTACATCGAGATGGGAGGTGTGTCTTAAGACAGAACCTCAAGGGTTGTTGGAGGATTTGGATGTGCCCGAGGCGATCCTCCGTCTTATCGCATTTGTTCTGTAGGAGTAATTCAACGGTCTCGACTGGTATGTCACACCAGTAGTCGCCTTCTGCATACTTCACCACTTGGCCAGTCGAACCGTGATGCCCTCGGAAACTGCTTACTGTGATAGGCCTGTAGCAGCCCAGCAACTACATCCTATAAATACTGCAGCACCTGGGCAATCCACTACTCTTATCTGACTCAATCTCTGATGATGGATTCGAGTGGGAATCCGAAACGTCAGGCTAATAATGTTCTTATTCTAACGATCATTTCTCCTTTTTCTCTTCCAGTGAATATTAATTCATTGAAAATAATGGCGACAGTGCGAAATTGGAAAGTATAGTGACAAAGGCGCCATTGTTGCTGAGAGTGAGACCATCACTAGGGATGATACGGGTCTAGGTAGACATAGAGCAGGTTGGACAGCTCCGGGTTTCATGGAGAGCCGAACTATGTATGTGGTGGCGGGGAGCACCATTTGCGAACCCATTTTCCGTCTCTTCTGTACCCAACTCTCTAACCGTGGTACACAAATTTTGAGCCACAGACGTAGTAGGGTCACGCGCGGTGGTCCAATCCTGGTACCACAACTTGTGGTACCGGAGAGGCGAATGGCGAGGTCTTCCCACGAATCTTAGTTAAACGGGTAACCATACCTGCACCCCTACAACAGATGCGGTGGTGGTGGAGGTGGCGGTGTTCGTTTGTTTCACTTATCAGTCTCCTGATTGGAAACTCGAGAGAGAGTTCGACCGTCGATTTCGACGATGTCCACTGTGTGCCCCACAGACTGCACCTTGGGAGCAGGGACGGTGACTTACGCAAGGGTTTATAGTGCCAGTAGACTTGCGTAGCATCTACCTACTCTCTCTTCTCCTCCCCTGCCTGGGCCCGGTGTCAAGACAGAGTCAAGAAGACCGGAGACGAGGGAGGCCGCAGGTGGATGGCTCGGACGGTTCCTCACCTTAGCTTTCCACCACACCCCCTAGTCCACACAACAATAACCAGGATTTCAACCAACACAACAGAGATTTGGGGGCTAGCACGGCCGAAGTCGCACCTGGGCGTGCCGCCAACGCCTGGCTCGGATCCCACACTGTGGTGGGAATGCCATAAAGGCCACATTAAAAAGGAGCCATTGCAGCCTGACTCTCAGACCGCCTCCCGTTAAGGAGGAAGTCCAGGGTATCCCGTCAGTTGGCAACCTTCCAAGCCACGGCTTTTAGCGCACCGTAATAGCTTCAAGCGCGTCAGATTGTTTATAGTGAGGAGAAAGTGCGCTGAGTCGTCGACCTCACTCTCCCTTCCCATTCCCACACACCAGCCGCTGTCCGAGCCGGTCAGCAGACTGGAGTGGGGAATGGGCGCGGTGGCTGACATGGTCGACTGACCATGCCTGCGCGCGCCACAGCACGACCTGGCCCCCCATACACACAAACACCAGGATTTCACACAACGGGGGTAGAACGGCGTGTCTCCCACTTGCGTGAGAGGGCCGTGGAAGGTGCTGCTTCAGCCCGTCCCCAGCCCACCAGTCCGCCACTACACACAACACACACATACAACGTGACGAACTGCGTGAACCGAGAGCAGGCCTCAATCAGCAACCTTCCTATCCACGACGCTTGACGTGTCGGCATAGTCTCGGACACAAGTCACCCGTGCAGCCGAAGTCGCATGGGGACCGAGTCGAGATGCACACTTCCCATTTGCGTGGTAGGCGGCAGTTGAGTGCATGAGGTGTGTGAGGGTTGATGTCTGGTGGGGTGATGGTGTTAGGAGGTAGGGAGTGAGGGAATATGTGGTGTGACCGGCGGTTGTCTACCGCAGGTCGTCGTGGATGCGCATGTGGCCGAATAGACCCATGCGATGCGTGAAGGTGCGAGGGCAGTGTGGGCATTTTCTTGCGCGCGAAACCAGCATTGTTCCAAGCCGCCTCTAACGTTATGTTTTTTGCAATTTAACCTTTTCCGTTGCAGCTTATGAAGCCCAACGGCCCGCAAGTGGGGGCCTTCGAGAAGGCGGTAAAATTCATCGGCCCGCCAACGGCGACCGCGACAGAGTATGTGCGCCGAGCTGAGGGCACCTTCGAGGAGATTGCAAAGCAGGCTGAGGAAGCGGCCTCCGAAAAGGAGGCGGATTACGAGAGGCGGTCGGAGGAGGCGAACATCCTGCTGAACCAGGAAGAAGCCATCTGGGTGCGTTAGTGTTGTCTACCCCTCCTCACCCCGGTTACATGGGCTCTGGGGGTTTTAAAATCACTTGATAGGCGTCATTCATGTTTTAATTCGTTTCGTCCATGTGGTGCATCATCAGATGATTATGAGTAGTCTCTTTGAGCCGGTGCTAAACGAAGTTACGGTGAGAACACCGTCGTCTAGTTCTTTCTTTTTTGTGAACATGGGCATAACAGCAAGCGCCTCATCCGGATTCACCACAGTCCCCCCCTGGAGGAGAAAGCCTCCATATATAACGAAGCCCAACCGGGGAGCCTTTGGACTGACTAGCACAGCAACTGCTGCATGAGAGAGAGGATCCATTTCTTCGACAAATTTAACGCAGTCCTTATGATAGTGAAATTTTACGCACGCCGAAACTCTCTCAATTCATTAAACCTCCTGGCTTGGAAGGTTGCCAAATGACAGAGTAACTCGTTCCTTTCAAAACGGAGCGTCAGGCTGCAACTTCGCCTTAGTCTAACCTCTATGACACTGCCACCCAGCTGGAATCCGAGCTGCTCCTTGTTTTCGTGAAAACCTGATTCAGCTTGTGTGGGCAAGATCGTGTGGCCGACGTAGGTGAACTGTCTAGATTTGCCACCTACTATTTTTTTCGCCGAGACTCAGGTGAGTGAGTGAGTAAGGAGAGAGTGCGAGGGATGCTGCGCAGGTATGTCTCACTACAAACTTACTTAGGCGCAAATTCCTATTCTTCACCCATCATACTGTGAGGCACACTGTGGCATCGTCTTTCTCGACGGTCGAATTAACTTGACATTGATCTTCGTCTGCACTAATAAAACAAGCGCATGTGAACAAACACGTGACTGCATTCTTCCTACAAGTTGTGCCCAGTGCAGATGACAACCACTTTCTCCACGTGCATTACTCACTTGCTGAAATTCATGTACAACTACCTGAATTTTGAATCGATAAATCCGTTCGCAAGCGTTGAATTCCCTTATAAAAAAAACCATTTGGCCGCCTTTTATGGATAGTTTATGTACTTACATCGTTTATGTACAAGCGAAAGCTTGAACTCTCAGAGATGAGGAAACCAACCAGCACCAAAACCACGCTTCTTTGTATCAGCTTTCCAGGGACAAAACGGGTCTTGTTTGTTGAACATTATACCCCTTTAGTAATATCTGCCACGAGTATGTAAATTCCTGTAACGATTCATATATGCTGACGAGAGTTCATTAGACCATTTCAGTGTGCTCTTGTCAGAGTTCCGGGCCTAAACCACTCGGTGATTATCTTTAGAGCTGTCGATTTTATCACTGGACCCGCCACGCGGGTGCCATTTAACTGTATTCCCCCGAGTCTAAATGAAAATACTCGCTACTTATTATAATTGAGTACCATTTAACGGTCGAATGTTTTTGATATGAAGTGGTCGAAATCAAGGCGAGGGTCGGCTTCGTTCTTAGCATATGCTCACAAAATTTCTGCATAAATTGTCTTGACAACCAAACCGTAATTTTTTCTTATATGTGCTCGCTCAGGCTGACTACTTAAATCTGCTGAAGAACGAAAATCAGGAGAGGTGGGATACCAAGAACTTGCCGCGAAGGAATTACCTCCTACAGTATGTCCTTCCAAAAGTGACCGAATCACTTGTCCTCTTTGCCGAGAATCGCAGCCAGGATCCCATCGACTTCTTGGTGAGTGTAACAGCAGCTTTGTACAGTATATTATACCCTCAATCTGCTATACTTTTTGAACGATTGATGTCTGTAAGAGAGATTGTGCAGGCTTTGTGTGGAACTGGCAATGACAGGTGACAGACACGAAGACACGCGAAGTTTGTCGAAAGAGCTTGAAGACCAAAATAAACGTGTGCAGCATATATTCTGTTGCTAACTAAATATGAGCAGAAGTATTTCTGTTTTTAACCCAGCTTTAGTCTTATTGAAAGCCAGATCTCTCCCCGGTACGAACCCACGCTAGACCGGCTGCGAACGAGATCATTAAAAGTCACATTGCAGCACCGCTGACCGACATACTCTAATTGTGAAAACGGGCACTTTCAGTTTATTAACTGCCAGCATACAATCTTAGTCAGTGTAGATATTTGATGACGGTGAATAAGCCAGAAATTTTCATTCCAGTCTTACCCTTTTCTGTCATGTGCCGCTTTACAAATAAATGAATTGCTTGTCCGCTCGACTAGTCATTTCGTTGCAGTATCCGAAAGGACCAGAGTTTGAGTCTGATTATAATTCGGCGTGAAGCGTCCCAAGCAAGTGTAAGCCTTCCAAATCTGGTACGTATGACGTAAATGATAATGTTCTCAGGAGTCGTAAGTATTAAGCAAAACCGGCTAGTGAATGATACTGATGTTCAGAACGTAGAATAACCTGACAGCAGAGCACGATAGTGGAGCACGCCAGCGAAGCGGAAGTCATCCAGTCGAGTTGTTTTCGTCACGTCAAAACAAGCAATTCGATAAAAGAAAACGGAACTAGATTGTCAAAGGTGAATTAGTCTGGTATCTCGCCACACGTACGCCGCGCTAAGAATCATGTGATTGGTGCTTATTCAGCCTTGAGGCCAACCAATCACTGGCGAACATAAACTTAGTAAACTCAAAGAAAGAGCGTTAGATCTCTCGGTAACATTTCCCAGACTGAACCGCAGCCCGCCGGACAGTGGCTGTTTGGGGGATTGATGAAGGATTAATTCCATTGTATCTCACTCCCTCATCGTCACAAAAGTTCAACTTTCCAAGACTAACCTAGATGGTGGATAAGGTCTCATTGAATGGAGGGCAATACTCTCCATGTACTAATACCCTTATGGCTTTCACCCCTTTACATGTAACGGCCCGAAGACATTACCGTGGCTAACTCCACAACCGCCTGTTTGTCAGAGCCGAAAGTCTCCCTCTATCACAGCTAGCAGTTATTGAAGGCCATCCATCTGTCAGCCGTGTACCCGTCGGGTGATTCTCGGTTGGACGGGTCCCGTCTGCCGAGAGGAGTGGGTTTCGTCATCCCTGTGCCCGTATCCAGAGCGGCGGCAAAACGCAAAATCTTGCATTTCATTTTTATATCTCGGAACTGCGTCATCAATTACTCTCCTTTGTTATGGGGGACGGAAACGGGATGGAGTTAGGACCCAAGGCGAAAAGGACACACCGCCATATGTAGCACAGCGGGTAAAGTTAACTGTGAAGTGCCCGCGTGAAATCAGCCAGCCAATCAGCGTGCGATGCGCTATCGAGCAGGCACGATGTCATTGTTCGCGCCGGCTGCCCAATCGATGGCAAGAAACAGCAACACCAAGCCCAGTAAAACAGACGTCAGCATGTCCTATAGCAGTTATGAGTAGAAAAAAGGCAAGTTTTAGCACGCTAGGTGACCATGTTACTCAGGTTGGCAGAATAAGTAGGCTTCTCCCGGAATTCGAATTCATCTTTTTTCATCCACCCGTCGGGACATAAGAACATGTTTTTTTCCGGACTCCGAGGAGCGTTCCTGTGTTCTAAGCAACTGCCTGTCGGGCTTATTACGTAATCGCTTCGGTGAAAACTTATATGGGAAGGATGCTTTGTTGATGACACACCCTAAGGGCTGTTTTCGATGTTGCAAAGGCGAGTTTTCTTACGTCAATTTACCAGCGTAAGTGCTTGCTGGGCATTTCATGACTTATTTTTGGATATTTCCGACAAAGAAACCAAAGCCTTAAATTCTGAAGCGTTTAGAATGCAGGCCTCCTGCGTCCTGTTAATCGGGCAGCCCGAGTTCAGATGAGCCAGATAAAAGCCCTGCCAATAATCTCCACATGATAAACGATCAGATGTTGTATCAAAAGAAGCGGCTAATTGTCGAAATTTCCTCCCCAAAGGGAGTATGTCCTTGCAAAATGGGGTATTTCAATCTCAAATACGTTTGGCTGTGATCGTGTCTGACGAAGCCAGTCACAATGGTATCGTGGATACTGTCTCTTCAGGAGTAAGAATCATCGACAACATCTAGCGGCGATGCCCAAATGTCGTAGGTCTTGGGGCCGCCTCCACGTCTTGGCAAGCAGTGTTGAGCTAGATTTCGAGGTGATCTCATCCCTCAGACAGCGCCGCCGCAGCGTGAATAACCTATTTCAGACTTCTCGGATGACCGGAGATACGTTTGTACCGTTGAAGAGAATTACCGGTCATTTCTGCCTTACGAGTCGTTATCAGTCAGCAAAACCCGACCCCAGGTTTTGCAACCCCTTAGGCTCGGTCCCGCCAACTGTTGGTCAGAAGTTCAAAACCCTAACCACGGATCCTTTGTCCTGTCAATTGCGATCGGGTATATACAGTTGCACAAAGTGGGACGAGTGTGTTTCGTATCGCGATCGGTGAGCGCCCCTCTACCGTTTTCGAAACAAATGCGGGGCGCCCATGAAACTACAGATTATATCCCCGAAGCCAAAACTCAACGACCAGGTCCCCTTGCTCAACAATCCACTCAGTGACACGTCGTTCTTACGGACTCCTGTGTACTTCCGACCACAAAAGACCTAATGTGAGTTTCGTGGTTCAACTGATAGGCACTTGATGTGAATGCGCAGTGGCCAATCAGTTCGAGTCCAAATCTTCCCCAAGGGGGGCTGGAGAATGGCTGACTGGTGAGGGTAGGAAACGACGATTCGAGTCTCTCTAGTTCTTGTTAAACCGTATGACAACACACTACTTTATCAACGTTTTCTATGCTTGAAGCTCGCACTTGTTAGTATGCTTGTCAGTCGAGGCTCGACAACCCACCGCATAAAGATTTTATCTCTTGTCAATCAATATCAACTTTCACTCTAGTCATGCCTCCGGCCTGAAAGTACAATAAAGGTTTTTAGCCACATTTTCACTGGCTTGGTGATGGGTCGACAACTCGAGACTTCTTAAATCAGATATCAGGGAAGACGGGGTTAGTGGACAATATCCACTGAAGCGAGGAAATGTACACGTGGGTCAGTAGGCAATGACAAAAAATCCTCCACCGGCTCGGGCGCAAAATTTGTGTCAGCGTCTAGGCTTTGATCGGTCGCGATCGATCGATAAGAACGTAATATCGATCCGCACTGCGCTATCGACAATCCAAAAGATGAATAACACGCGAACTAAAGACGGCCTGAGTGAGCGGTCCTGCCGACGACCACGGGAGCAGACCGTCACAGGCTCTTCGGACTGCCTTCAGAGAACTATGCGGTGACTCTAGGACACAGAGACGGTCTGCGATAATTATTTAAATCAAACGCATAAAGGCCGGCCATATATAGATATATCCCGTTCATCCTCCCCAAAAGAAGACGAAGAAGAAAAAGAGGCGATGCCATGGACCACACTGTATTGGTGCTGACGTTTCGGAATCTTCCTCGATTCCATCATCAGAGTAGTGGTAGGGTGTTTGTTCCTGCTAGCTCAGAGTTGTTCTGTCTCGTCGCCTGCCTCGTGTTATAGGCATGCCTGATACACGAACTCTGACCTGCTTGCTGGCGGGCGATTGGCTTAGGTCTCTCCGTGGCCGACCGCTGGGGCGCTGGTGTGACCTCTGCCCCCTGCCCGGTCGCTGTATTCGCTGCTAGGTCCGTGTGCCCTTGGGCCATCCCCCCATAATTTGACGGGCCGATCGGCTGCCGTTGCATGTGGGAATCGTGGTCGTCTGTTTGGGCGCGTCGGTGGGTCGATGTCTCGCGTCGGTCGTCTGACAGCCGGCTGGCTCTCTCCCCCTGCTGGGATTGGGGTGGCCCATAAACCGGAATCCACCATCAGGCAGCAGATAATGAGGCCGAATGACCAGCTACCTGCAACGGAACAATCAGCAGTGGTCTACAGCATACCTTGCCAAGATTGCAGTGCAAGGCATTTTGGTGAGACGGGCAAACGCCTCTGCACAAGATTGCACGAGCACCAGCTTGCAGTCAACCGCGAGGATAAGCTGTCACTGGTATATGGCCACATACAACAGGAGAAGCACAGTTTCGCCTTTGGGGAGGCAAGCGTCATCGGCTGAGCCAGCGACAAGATGGCCAGACTGGTTCTCGAAAGTTGGTCCTCAGTTGACACAATCGACAGAGCCATTGATCTTTATCCGGCCTACCAGGCGCTTCATACGAGGCTCCAGTCAGTTCGGACGTGGCCGACAACACTGGCGAACAAATCGCGGCTCTCTCATCAGTTGTCACCTTCCAAGCAGGGGGGGAGAGCCAGCCGGCTGTCAGACGACCGACGCGAGACATCGACCCACCGACGCGCCCAAACAGACGACCACGATTCCCACATGCAACGGCAGCCGATCGGCCCGTCAAATTATGGGGGGATGGCCCAAGGTCACACGGACCTAGCAGCGAATACAGCGACCGGGCAGGGGGCAGAGGTCACACCAGCGCCCCAGCGGTCGGCCACGGAGAGACCTAAGCCAATCGCCCGCCAGCAAGCAGGTCAGAGTTCGTGTATCAGGCATGCCTATAACACGAGGCAGGCGACGAGACAGAACAACTCTGAGCTAGCAGGAACAAACACCCTACCACTACTCTGATGATGGAATCGAGGAAGATTCCGAAACGTCAGCACAAATACAGTGTGGTCCATGGCATCGCCTCTTTTTCTTCTTCGTCTTCTTTTGGGGATGATGAACGGGATAATCTATCTGGACCTCGAATCTTCGCTCATGTTGATATATGTATATATATACCGATAAGGTGTGTGCGCAAGTTATTACCTATTCCTTTCTGTTTTAGGCTGAATACCTGCTCCGCAATTCTAAGTAGACGCGACGCTCAGCGCAAAATGGCGCACTGGTCAAGGCAGTAGGCACAGAAACAGGCATTTGCACACACTAGAACACTGCACCAAGCTCTTCGGGCGCTGATGGTCAGAGAAGGAGGCTACCCGACGCACAAGTATGCATATATACATACCGAAAGACAGGTTGAAGCAAGCATACAACCCCTGAAGCCTGCCCTACAGACAGTGCACGCACTTTGTCCCAGTCTGCTTGCAGCACAAAGACAGACACCCCCTAAACTAGTCTCTGATTGTCGCGTTTGTTATTTGTCAATAAAGTTTGAGAGAGAGAGAGAGAGTTGAGGACAACTTCTACTCCAAGACAGGGGTCACAGATGAGGTCGAATTCTGCAAAAGACGACCTCCCTCTCTGCTCGCCATAGGCACGTCTTCGCGAAAAGATGACTGCAGATGAGCATTGCCTCATTGGCTCGCCTTAATCATGTACCGGAGCACTCACTGCTAAAAAGGACACTAAAAGGAGGCCGCCACCGCCCGCCTGCGGCCGGAAAAACCAATAGCTTCCGCGATTTTCAGCCTTTCGTGCTGGAATGTTTCGTGAATCATGACTGAATCTAGGGCGTGACAAGGAATACATGCACAGCGGTGAGTGTACTCTTCCACCCTGCCCCGCTTGCACTGTTGTTCGGTAAAAAGCCATTACCACTGGGGGGTAATGGGGATGAGGTTGCGTCCTAAGCTGTCTGTGGCGCTTCTTTGGGTCTACACGGATATGCACAGGGTCGCGCTACAGATAGGCTCACTGCACGCGTTTATCGTGTCGCGCTGAGTCCGCGCGAGCACATTACTGTTGTACGCGCGCGTGCCTTGCCTTAGACGTAAGCCACACGACGCATCAGCTACTGCGTCCAATCTGAACTGCAAGACTGTTACGACGACCTCAGGTGGACTCATACACACTGGCTGACAAAGCTAAACAGCCCGTCTGCACTTGTCATACATGACCTGGCTCCCACAACACGCACCAGGCTTTCATAAGGCGCCTTATTGAGGAGGAGGAGGAGGAGGAGGAGGAGCTACTGAGGCCTGACTCCCAGTTCTGGGGAGGATCGAGTTATCTCGTCAATTAGCAACATACCAAGCCAAGGTTCTTGCGAATGTCTCTGATGATGGATTCAAGTGAGAAGCCGAAACTTCAGGCCAATAAGTGTCCTGTTCCAGTGATCGCATCTTCGTCTTTTGAGTCTTCCAGTACTTTAGGGCACGGTGGTGGCATGTTAACAGCACGGGTGCTAGACAAAAGCCCATACACGCGTGTTTTGCCGATGTTCTGCCGCTGCATGGCGCAGCTGCGAGGGGTTCGGCTCGTCAGCGAGTCCCCCAGCATTCCCCGTGTGTTTTCTGGTAGATACTCCAATTTAGCAATTGTCGCTTTTTAATTTCCTCAGAAATTATCTACGAAGTTGGAGTAGATCAGTTTATTCAGGGTCTATAGGTGGTGCTGTTGGTATGGTATAACCTTAACCTAAAGTATACTACTAGCTGCCTGTCGGCAGTTAATGAATATTACGCGGTTACCCGCTGTGGCTGATGGACTCTGGCCCAAATATTCACGTATAAAATTTTCGGCCTGTGCCCAATGACCTTGAATAAACTGATCTACTCCAACTTTGTGGATAATTTCTGAGGAAATTAAAAAGCGACAGTTTTCCCATCGAAGCCTGTTGGGTGAGGGACGATAGTGTGTGGTTGGTGCTGCGAAAGTCATGCGCGATTCACCGGTGGCGCACCCACTTCATGGGACACGCGGAGGACATACATCATTCTTGACGGCTGTCAAACTGTCATGTCTGTGTGTGTGTGTTTTCCCCTAAAACGGGTCCTTGCCCCTGAAGGGAGCCACGGGGTAAATGTGCTGGACCAACGCGGGGGGGTCAATCGGAGTCCGGCGAGCGTTATTGGGAATGCGCACCCAGAGCATTCGCGGTGTGATGGCGGGCCCAAATGCAGGTTTAAGTCGGGCCAATTGGGATCTGAGTCGTCCGCTTCTCTCTTTCCTGGTCAGTGTGGGTTGCGAACCATGGGGTGTGGTGATAGGCCTAGATGCGGGCTTTCGCCTGCGTCCCTCCCGCGCTCTGTCTTTTTGACTCTGTCTTGACTCCGTATCCTGGTGGCGGAGGGGGGGAGCGAGTGTGGCCGGCGTGGCGAAAGTCTATCACAACTGCAAACTAATCCGCAAGCAAACCATCGTCCCTGTCCTCACTTTGCTGTGAAGCACACGGTGGATATCGCCGGTCACAACGGAGGGACTGCCCTGTGCGCAGAGATGCTGACGTGTGTGGACACACTGGTATCCATGAAGGAGACACGATCGCTGAAACAAGAGCTTTTATTAGCCTGACGTTTCGGATTCCTGCTCGAACCCATCATCAGGTAAAACAGCAGATACGGGTGATCCATGCACAAGGGGCTGCAGTATTTATAGGATGCAGTCGTCATGCTACCGCCTACCTATGAATATTCACGACTCCCACCCCCCCCCCCCCACTTCATCAGTGATCGTTGCACTTGGTGAGCTAACTGTTTGATGGCCGACATTCGCGTCTTTGATTGCCGCAATTTCATCACGTGCGTTGGATGTTGGTGTGATGATTGCTCGACCATCTGACCCACAGAATCTGGAGTTGGGAAAAGTGTTCACCTGTGCGCTACCCGCGTGACTAGTTACTCCGCCTAGGCGAAGTCTCAGCACCGAGTATGGAAGGGGAAGATCATTGCACTTGTTAATGGACTGGGGGTCAGTAAACCATGACTCAAGCAGCTCCCAGCTCACGCGGTTGTCACCTCTTGCGAGAATTTTGGCCTCATCGAATTTGAATGTGGCCGGATCTCGTCGAATGAGCCGCAAATTGAGAGCTGGCGTCATTTCCCCAAAAGGTGACAACCGCGTGAGCCGGGAGCTACTTGAATCATGCTTTACTGGCACCCAGTCAATTAACAAGTGCAATAACCTTACCCTTCCATACTCGGTGCTGAGACTTCGCCTAGGCGGTGTAATTAGCCACGCGGGTAGCACACAGGTGAACACTTTTCCCAACACCAGGGTCGGTGCGTCAGATGGTCGAGCAATCGTCACACCACACTGTATCTTCTAAATACTGCAGCCCCTTGTGCATGAATCACCCGTATCTGCTGTTGTCTCTGATGATGCTTTCAAGCAGGAATCGGAAAGTCAGGCTAATAAAACTCTTGTATCAGCGATCGTGGCTCCTTCTTCAAGACTACTTCCTGGGACTCGTCTCTTCGCTTCTATTGACACTGGTATCCAGTTGTCTTGACATAGCCT